CCCAAAACGTTGGCGCAGGCCAGTCCAACCTCCTCATGAGGTAAGTAATCTACTACGAGATAATGAGTAAAAACAAATTTTTAAAAATTGCACAGTAAGTTAGCCGTCAATTCATTCTAATGAGTAACCAAAATGTTCATGGATGTATGCGTTTCTAAAAAAAGTGGTTTCTATCCATTGGAAACAGTCATTTCAATCAATTAAGTAGTAACAACTACAAGTGCAGTTTCCTAATAAAACAGCCACCCAAGTACAACAAGTGTAACGGACAAGACGTGTTGAAAATCTCCTCCAAGGCATTTTATTAGAAAGCATTGTTATTTATTTGTTTCTGTTCTTTGTATTGCATTACAACTTTTTTTCAAGTCTCTTGTTAATCACGATTTATGTTCTTCAGTCTTCTTTGTCTGGGCTTTTACTATTTGTCATTGGTTAAAGATTTACCTTTTATAACTTAACTTCGATGTTAGATGTAACTAGACTGTTTACAAGGAGGTGATGGCTGACTAAACTTAAGGTTACAGCTTGGTTCAGTGTGTGACGGTTTGCTTGAAAAGGTTACAAGAATCCTCGGAAACAGATACCGGATCTCATCTTTTTAGTTTAGGGCCAGTGAAATGTCACTAAGCCCTAGCCAAATCATCCGGCAGTCGGGTCATTGAATATCGAAAACGGTCAAGGACGACCAACTCGCATCAGTTAATCATTTGCCATGGACTGGCCCATGAGGTGATGGTCCTACTTCCGCTTGTATCCACTGTAAATAATATATTTCTGTAATAACGTCCTTTGTGTTTCACAGTCTTCAAAGCATCTATAGTACCTTGACAACGTTTATGGGGCAATCCATGCAAGGTGCTGACGGCGCGTTGTGACTTCGACGTTGGCTGGTTCATCACACCATTCCTGTCTGACTCTAGTAGACCAGCAATCATTTGGCATAGATCATCTACGCTGGTGATCTACATGAGGACCGTTTCATCGGTTCTCAGGTATAGAACTCTAACTGATTAAAGATTCATTTCGACGTTTAGCACGTTAGTTTGTGCTAGAGGTATTGTATACTTTGAATATAATGCGTTTTCTTTCTTAAACTAGAACCATTTTAAATTAAACACAGTGTTTGTGTTTTGATGTAATACGAGTCACTTAAAAACGTTTTGTATGGTATGCAGAAGAACGAAGTTTGCCCCAATCAAATAAGCTTCGGTTAGTTATTCCTGCATTTAGACCAAATACTAGGATTTCGATCGTTACAACAAATATGTAAAATAAACCAAGGTGGTCAGAATTGATTAGTGGCAAGAAAATGATCACAAAACCTAAAATGTAGGAAGATTAATGACTTTAGTCTCACGCGAATAAAAATATCCTATTTGTTATCATATGAAGGTACCAAAAAATTCTAACTTTTCATTTGGGTTAAGACGACGAACTACTTTCTCATAAAATGCAAAACGTAGGGACTTTCACGCGCACTTACACAAAATTATACAAAAGACATTCTACATCACGCGTCAAATGTTTTGTGGAATGCTCACTGTGTAATTTTAGTCAATTTAGAAATCCATAAAATCTTGTTGTAGATCAACTATTCATATTTACTATCATACAAGATTATGTTTAGTGTAAAAGTTAGACAGTGGATGGTTAAAGTAGTCTCATGGAATTTGGCTCAAGTCCTTCCACTTCTCGATGCACTTCTGCTGCTCAGGTTGGTTACGTAATGATTGCACGTCGACGAGGACGGGTCAGAGGTCAGAGCAATAAAACTGTCAACTTAAACACGAGAAGAAGCGTACATAATAAAGACAGCAATGATAACTAGTCGCGGACCAAATTAATTTGATAACCACAGACCAATTAAAAAGTTCACTTGCACATGTATCGAAGGCTGATGTTGTTGTCCGCAGCTAAGCTATATAGCTCAAGGGACTAAGCAATACCGAAACTACGAAACCTCACAGACAGTTTGAGGAGCTATGACTACTTTTAACATACAACGAAGGACGACGAAATTATTCAGAGTATTATGAAGTGGAAAAATACTTTTTTCCCAGTATGAAACGTTTTGTACAGCACATCAAAATAGTAGCAGTCACTTTGACACCATTCTGTAGGACAAGCCAATTAGTTTTAGAAATAGGCGTGTAAATGTACCTGCGCTCAGATGGAATTAGGTGAAGGATGTGTTCCTCAGATGGTTAGGTAAGGTGTGAGGACAAGCATAAAAAAGCATTTAATGCCAACAATTGTCTATGAACTACATACAGTAAGTTCATAGCCCTATATTGTTAGGAAATACCTTAGAAATCTGTAAGTTATGGCAATATTCTGCCCAAGTTATTGACAGATATTTCTGTCAACGTGGGTATTATCCATATTTGTCCTTTAGTTTGTCAATTGGCCGGTGCTCACTTGAAAATTCGTGATAATACAAATGAACATAAACCAAAGAAAATTCACAGTTGCTATCCATTTGAGTGCATCAAAAGGATTGATTATGGACTATGAATTCTGTATGACAACGTGAATAACCATACAAAGAAATAAATGTGGGACCAAAGAGGGGCAGTAGACGATTAAACATTAAGAGTGGGAAGTAAGTACTTAGGGAGAAGTAAAAAATACTAAAAACGCATGTCCTCATCCAAAATAGCGGAAATTTTGCCATTTAGATAACTCTAGATTGAGCGATCAACAGGAAATATTACTAACAGTTAGTGAACCGAACGTTTAATCCATCACGGATAGATCATTCAGTTAAACCACACAGAATCAATCAAAAATACGGTCACACGATACGGCAGTTGAAAACGTCGGGTAAAACGAAAGTGACAGGTTAATCGAAGGCCTTAACGTCATTCACAAATTGATCACACTTCATAGATTGTGGGCGATGTATTAATATAATGAAAACAAAGCAATAGTCATTCGGATAAACACATCAGAGGACATTTCACATATCATCACATGAACAAACAAATGGATTCCATGATTGATGAATAGCTTGAATGACTGGTTTCTAAAAAATACCTGGCTTACTTAACCTTATGTCAGTTTAATATTCTTAGTTGCATTCCCACACACAGAATAGATGCTATATGGGGTCTCAAAACCTATAGTACGAGGCCTCGACAACAAAACTAACATTTTAGTAACTGATAATTTTCACTCTGGTCAAATGGAAGGATGAAATAAAGTACCTATCGGGTGTAGTTGAGAGAATGACGCTGCACGAAGTTTCATCTGGAAATACTTATCAGGTCTAGGTTCGAGAAGAACCAAGATCTGCAATCCTATAATCAAATCAGACATGGAACTGCAGTTTGATGTCACGGCGAGTTTATTAAAGCTCCTAGGAACAGGGGTGATCCATAAGCCAACTAGTGAATCGAATGAAAAGTCACAGTATCTCTTAGCACGACCGATATGCTTTAACATTAGCACAAATGGAAAACTATTGTTATTAAGTGAGCTCATATATATGTCTACCACTAAATGCTCTGTTTGGTTGGGCAGTGGTATGTACAACTAATATGAGCACTCTTAACTCAGCATTCTCTACTGTTATCGCTGTTCAGATTGTTCATGAGTAGACCACTGACCGTACGCATTCCAATATTCATAATAGTTATAGGTAGTGAGCGCAAGCACATATGCAGAAACGACTTGCGTGAAATTGTCTGTTACACTTCGTATCGCTGCCCCTCAGCAACTTAAAAAAACCAATGTGACCCCAGCTTTCATACAATTTTAAGTTTCGGAATGTGTTGATAGGTTCGAAGAGATTAAAAAGCACTTTCGATAAGATTGTATATCAGTTTGTTTTTTACACAACGAAAGTTATTCCCGAACACCAGGACAACCACGAAATTCCATTGAAGACATCTTGAGTCGTCTGCTTCATCCAAGGAAATAAATAATTCGTAGAGGTTCATTAAAAACTCTCGCGTCCTCTGATCGTGGCTAATGAAGGATAACGAAGTTGAAAATACTAGTTATTCAGCCGTTCGTTAATTAAACAACTATTGCAAAGAATACTTCTAAGCAATGAATTTACAAAACTAATATTGTAAGCAACAAAGATGACCTATACCGTCACAAAACCTCATGGAAATTTTTCAGAATACTTAGTTAAATTCATCTTCAATGAGCCTTTGACCAAATAAATGCATTTTAGAAGTGCAATGAAGTACGTTGGATTGTAAGTCTTCCATCTCGTAAGAGTCTCTCAGTTGAACTAAGTGTTTCTGATGCATACCTCAAAAGTTGGTACAGTCGTCGCTGGCTCATATCGGTAACTACTTCCTATCTCTCTTGATTTCATTTCCGTTTCTCCTCTTATTCTTTCAATTCTATCTTCTCACACTGTCTGCAATACCAATAAATTATCTTATTTACTTGTTCTTGAGACGATCATCTTCTCTTAGGACTCAAATGATCACTTTATTATCTTCACATTGCAACCAACCAATCTCCTACCAGACAATGTGATAGCTGCTGGTATCCAGAAACTCTGCTACTCTGAGACAAACGCACTTAATCAACTACAAGGTATACAAGTCTGCAAGTAACTTCCAAACTGATTGGAATTGATGCAGTCGAGTGGTTAGACTACCAATAATTGAGCATTACCAAATACTTGGTGCTGTACCGAAACAACAAGAAGTGAGTGCAAAACAATTAATCAAATTCTACAAGAACTTAACAAAGTCTCGATACATTGGAAGTTTTGGTATCCTCTGTCGTCTTAAGTATATTGATTCAAGAAGAACCTTGTTTTACTCCATAGGACTTAGAAAAAGATCTTATATTAATTTGTTAGCACTTTTTTCATTCATCTTTATGGAGAAAAGCTCTGTTTTCAGAGTATTCATCTGAACATTTTAGCAAGTGCCACCTTTCTTTCCCATCTATAAAAATTGGTTTATACATAGTCGTAGGGATATTGGATACAGATCGGATATATTGCATACTGAGGTTGTTCTCAAGGTTACAGAGAGGCGGCCTCGGTTGTTACATCGTTACCATCGTTACTTTAGTTAGAACATCAATAGCGGAGACTATGTCTTCTGAGTAGGAATGTGTTTGTGGGTCTGGTCATAGTTTGTAATAGAATGACTCAGTCAGTCTTCATACAAGGTAACTATTGATAATCACCCAAATCTGATTTTGTTTTGTAGTAGGTCAGTGTGGCAATCAAATCGGTCATCGATTCTGGGACTTAGCTCTTGCAGAACACGAAATTGCTAATAAAGTAAGGCGTTAGTGTGTGCTTACAATAATAAATTCAGGGACGCCTTCATGATAGTTCATTTTCTTCATTTTTTGTAAACGGACCGAATAACAAAAGTGGTATCCTGCCTAAAATTTCTGGCCTCAAAGCTAGAGTAACTAAAATTCTGAATTACAGTCTTGAAGGCTTTGCTCGTAGATATGGAAGAAGGCGTTGTCAATGAAATATTAAAGGGACCATTGAAAAATATTTACGATTCCAGTTACCTGATCACTGATGTGTCAGGTTCCGGAAACAACTGGTATTTCACCTAGCTACTAAGTATCTTAACTTTGAATTTAGGGCAGTGGGAAACTTATATTACGGCCGAGTGCACCAAGATGCGTTGTGTGAAGCTTTAAGGAAGTCTGCAGAACTTTGCGATTTCCTCCAGTGCTTTTTTGTCCTCCATTCAATGGGTGGAGGTAATTAAGTGCTTTATTTGACTTATTTATGAAGGTACTGGTTCTGGAGTCGGTACTCATATCTTGAAGATTTTAGCTGATGAATATCCTGATGTATACAAGTAGGTCTAAAAATTTTCACATAAATCAGAATGGACATCGCTGTGTTTCCTTCAACGGACGATGACGTTGTCACTTCTCCGTATAACACAGTTTTGGCTCTTGATCAGACCACTGAATTCGCTGACTGTGTGCTGCCTATTGATAATATTGCTCTCTCAAATATAATTGATAAAGCTAAAAATTTTCATTGTAACTCTAAAGGAAATGTGAATGAGCGTACGGGTTCAGCAATTTGTTCAAAACACACCAAATCAGCAAAACCTTTCGATGAAATGAACAACATTGTGGCTAATATGCTATTAAATCTCACAAGGTATGATTCCGTTTTGTTATGACTGGCATTTCTTGGCATTTTAAAACTCTTTGGACATGTCTTTCTGCAAAGTCATTTGTAGTTATGATAATGCGCACTTTATGTTTTTTTGCGTTCACACTTGCTAAGAGAAATAGCAATATTGAATTCTTTTCCGTTTCACATTCTGGCGTCGTCAAGCGTTTCCTTAGTTATCATACGTCTTGATCTTTGAAGCTACTGTGTTTAATAAAATATTTTCTTGACGAACTAGTGTAAACTAATTGTTTTTGTACGTTTAGATCTTGGTTCTCAGGAACGATTCTAGGTCTCTGATTGCATTTGATAAGCTACTCGGCTACGGTTTTCCTAATGACAATCATACGAGTCTAATTTCTTCACTCCTTTGTTTTATAAACAGGTTTCATATTGGGCGGAGTATAAAGACTAAAAGGAAGAGATTAAGTCCTCAATAATTGGACACTGGAAGGAAATTCGGATATCAGTAAATATCGATGTATAAAGCATTGAAAAAGGGACAAGACGCCGTAAGGTGTAACTTAGAAAGATAGCGAACTGCTGAGTGTAACTCCATCTTGTCATTATGTTGTCATGTATTGTCTAATCTAGTAGGGAACATCCTGTAGGTTTTGAAATGATTGTCTGACGATAACTTAAAACATTTTACTAATAATATCAATGCTCACAAGTTGAATCTGCACGTGCGTTTGTGATGCGTTAGGAATAATTCGGAGGGTAGCATACTGAGCTGCTTAAGGACTAAATGAAGTGTGGCATAGGATTTAGCTACGTTTTCCGAGTTGTCAGATACGTGCCTGACCTCATTAGTAGTACATCTACATCACTGTTTGTTAAGTTTCTAAGGAGGCGATGGCCACAAAGTACACAAGTTATCTATTGCGTTGTATGGGCACGGATCCACGTAGCTTTTGTATACAGTGGATTTAGGACCATCTTCTTATTTCAGTGAAGTGAGATCTTTTTGAATTTGCATATGTTCACACTTGGTGATTCTTGACCGTTTGAGATCGCCATCATAAAGATGAAAAGTTAGTATTCTGTTCAATTCATCCTGTATCAGTACAATTAAATTTTGTGGTAAGCCGAATTCTTCATTACGGAATAAATGTATTTTTCGATGAAGTTCAGTCAAAAATTAGATTTTGTTTACCTTCATTGAAGATCTGTCTTATGGCATATTGACCTCCAAACCCATTCATATCTTCAATGTAACGAGACAAGATTTTATTATTTGGTTTGTCTAAAATATGTCGTTTTAGTTCTGCCTGTCACATTAGGTTTACTTTTCATGATAACAAATAGAATACAGTTTTCATGGGTAGTTTTCAACAGTTTTTGCACACGAAGTCATATACAAAGAGCGAGAAATATGACTAAAGTATTATATTGGTACTTGATGAATAGGATTACTTGATGAACCGAGTTGTGGAGTATATGTGTCCTAATAGATTGCTCCTTAAATTAGTAATTTTGAGGAAACCTGTCATATTAAAGTGTCATATTTCCTAGTTCTGCCAATAAAAACACAAGTCAAAAATATACATTAGTGCACTTTTGTGATAAATTTTTGAAAACGTTTTCCTGAAATATCTTGACATTTTTCTTTGACGTTCAATTTATTTAGCTCCTCTCGATTTGAAGGTACTATGAATGTTGATTTAAATGAAATCAGTATGAACTTAGTTCCATTTCCTCGCTTACATTACCTGATTGCTTCACAAAGCCCTTTATCAACCATCTCTGGCATATCAGCTCCTAGAAAGTAAGAATTAACACCTATTTCTAATATATGTATGGTTTTATACATATTATCATGCCACCCATTTTGTAATGGAATCCTCCAGTAACTAAATCCTAATGTAGATCACCGAACTTTTGAATCATTTATTATTTATTTAAATACATAATCATTGGTAGAAGGAGGCACCAAGTAGATATGCACCACATAAATCATTCGATTTATGTAAAGGCTGGGATACTGCCCGGGTGCCCAAACCGAAGCAGGTTTATTATTATTATCATCATTATCGAACAGCACAGGTCAATAAGCCACAAACCCACCAAGCGAATTTGAGCAGAAATGCTACTGTGAGCGAGCTAGTGAATATAGAGGCGAATTCAGAGTCAAGTCAATGAATAAGATCCAAGGATATATATATATATATATATATATATATATATATATAAGTGAATGATTCGTAACTAAACGAAAGAGATGGATATGTGTAGGCTGTGATATGTGACCAAGCATGCATGTTCATACAGACACGATAATTACAATGACGATACAAAGATAGACAAATTGTTACTGTTCGAACAACACTGTTAAATGTTAAATCAGTCAATTGAAGGACTTGACAAAATTAACCTCAAATAAACTCAATTGTAGGGGAGGTGCTATAAAATAATGTTCCTCCTTTCTATAGATAGAATTGACAACGCGTTCTTCTTATTTAAACACGTGGTTGATAGAGCCTGTCAAACAGTCGTACAGGCCCTTACCGACATGGGGGATGCAGATATAAAGGTGATCAACTCTACGGCCTCGGCTGAAAAGTGGAAAATTAACTTGGGTGCATCAGTAGTAGAGACATGGACTTATTTCCAGGATCTTGACAAAATTAACTGCAAATAAACTTAATTGTAGGAGAGGTGCCATAAATTAAAGCATACTTAAAGTCTTCTGTTTTCATATCCCAAATCTGAATCTAAACGATTGTGAATCGTGCAAAAGATTATCACTTTAAATGGATAAAAAATACGACAGCACAAGAATTAACCAAAGGATATCGGGTTCAAATAAATAAATAAGGTTAGAGGGCAGAACTTACGAAATGAACAGATGTTGCAAGATTAAAGAGAACTGATTCTATTTGTCAACTGTGACTAACATTAAACGATGTCACGATTCAAAGTCCGAAACTTCCCTGAGAGACTTCATGATACTCTCATTTGGAACCTGCTTTCTTGATCATACCAGTAATGCAATGGTGGGTGGTTTTTCGAACGACATGAATAACTTGTAAAACTGGCAAAAACTATGGGAAGCCGTTATTCAGCCTAGGGCTTAATAAAAGTAAGCTTCAATATTATCCAATCAAGTATTAAAATCGTGTGTTAAAAAACTATAGGATATGGAAAATACTCTAGTTCATTTGATGTACTGACGTGCATTAGTCAACATCTTCATGTGATGTAATCGTAATTCCGAAAAATCAATCAGAATTCTAACGTAGAAAATTCAATCGATTGTGGTCAAAGTGACGAAACTTTAAGAATGTTTAAGCCTAATCATATAGTTGATAGTGGTCAGTTGTTGATGTGGTTTCGAAAAGTTAATCTCATACAAAATGATATGTTCAAGGAACCATGCTTTCAGTCCTTCATTTAAAATCATTCATATGTTTGAAATAACTCATAAAACCGTCAATTTCTTCGTAGTTTGATCTAAACTAAATATCTAATACATTTTCTGTAACTTTTAGCCTTCACTACTATTCGTAATTGTACAATAGTTTGTACATGTATTTAGTTTACACATCACTTGCTTTAAATGTATTTAGTATTACCTTGAGTTTTCAGTTTATAATTTGTTACTACTTTTTAAGTCATAGGTATGATATTTCATTCTAAAAGTAAGTCTCATAATTTAACATACAATGATGCCTAGAGTAGGGGAAAAGCGCTAGTGGTGACCAAATCAAGATTTAACATCAGTCCACGAAGTCAGTAAATGATTTGAAATATTCGGTGATTTAGTTCAGAATCAGTTAGTGGCTCAAATATACTTACTCTTTATTTATCTTCAGATTTTAGGTACCATATTCCTTCGTGTAGTATTTTGAACAAACTCAAATTTGTGTCAAACTCTACATTGATTATGGTTAACTAGCAGACCACTTAATTGAAATCGTGAACCAGTTAATGATTTTAGTGAAATTCAACAACCTTAATAGATTATTGTCAGGACTGGATGCTACTCTTTCTTTGACCCAATCAAAACGAGTTATTTTATGTTTCTATTGGTTATTTATATTTCGTTAGTGACGCTTTAGTACAAAGTTTATAATAAATTCATTCGTTGTTTATTCCCTTCTAAATTTAGTTTCACCAGTTTAAAAATTCTTATTTATGGGTAGGGTTTGTATTTTTTTTGTGATTTTGGTTTGTTTTATAGGCTCGACCAAATATTTTCAGATACATTCACCAGAGATTATCAGTTAATGTCTACTGATCCTTGTAGACATGTTTACCTAGCGGCTGCTCTACTTGTTCGTGGTGCAATCAGTGCATCAGATCTCCGTCGAAATATTGACAAGCAAGTTGTTATAAAAATACTATGTTAAACTTTATATGAGAAATTTATATTGTGTCGGTTAAATCTTTTAGAATGACGACATTTTAAACTTATTTAAAAGAATCCAATACTGTATCTCTCAAAAACGTTTTTCTGCGATTGATACGGTTAGTTGTTTATTTGCCAATGATTTCTCTACGGTCTTTACCAACTTACCTGGTTCCGTTAGTAATATGTTGGAATTTTTGAGAGTTAATCGACCGCTCCGTATAAATTCACAAATTCACAATTGAAATAATACTCTTGTTCTGAAAATGTCCGTTAATTTCAGTGACTCCACACAATTTTGCTACCTAAGATTTTAAAATCCCCTACAAACAAGTTTTGAGCCTTATGATAATGATCATTAAATGCCTACTGGACTGTCCGCAGGGATACGATTATGTCACACAGCCTACAGAATAATGCTTTTGTAGCAGTTCGCGTTTAACCTGAAAGCACGTCCAGGTGAACGTGCAGACTAGCGTGTGTGAAGAAACCTGTAGAAAAGAATGATATGCGAAAATGTAAGCCGAAGACTCAGTAACCACATAGGATACACTTATATGAAATAATGAAAAAAATCACTGACAATTAGCAATAACTTCTCTTTTTTACTTTTGTTGTTTTGGCAGACTTCAGTCTCGCTTAAATTTTGTTCCATGGAACCGAGAAGGTTGGAAAGTTGGACATTGTTTAGTTCCACCAGTGGATCATAAATACTGTCTATTAGCTCTAGCTAACAACACTTCTATTCATGAATCATTCAGTTTTATTTTGGAACGATTCTATAAACTATATAGGAAAAAGGTATGCCATGATTGGTTTTTTATTTTAATTAAATGTCTATTTCTATTCAAAATCATGATGTAAATTACATTTATTACTAACGTAAATTACTTTATTGGGATAGTTCCTTTAAAAACCAAATGGTTTTTTCACAAAGATCACTAAAAACCAAGTAACGATGGTTATGCCGTCAACAAGGAGTTTTAGTAGGAGGTTGGAATCGGCAACAAATACTTTACTATAGCATTGGATATTATTAGTCGTTTTAAACAGTAAAGTGAGTGAATTTTTAAATCAATGTTTCGATGGTGAATTTCCCTGTAACATCCTAATATTGGTGTATCAGCGAACTAGGGTCATGATGGATGGTAGCCCCTAAAGAATCGAAGTAGTTGTTGAGCTCTTTTAAATATTCAGCTAATGACTGGTTATTATGTGAGAGAGTCGCCTCCAAATTTCATCTTAACACACATAACCTGTAGGAATTGTCGAGTGATAAGACCTGAAATTAGCTTTTATATTATTTTTTTTTAACAAAACAACAATACGTGTAAAGCTTGAGTACGGTTTTGAACATCAAATTGCACTAGCAAATGCTTATGTGCTCTTATAACAAAACAATTCATATATAACTTATCTACTACAATTATTCTGCTTATGGATAACTAGGTCGATCGTAAACTGTTTCCTATTTGTGGACGCATATTAAACCAGTCGTTATTGTGCTCCTATTCCTTGAGATTTAATCATCGTCGTTGAGTTTACTACCTTGGATATGAGTTTAACATAAACTAATCGTTTGATTTATCCGACCTTGGGTATATTGTTTTGGTGACTTTGATAAGTCATTGTGACAAAACTCTGGATATATTTTACCATACAATAATTAAACTTGCCATTTATTGTGTTGTGTGAGAATGGTAGCAACAACGATGTATCCGACCTAATTTACTAAAGTAATGCTCTGTAAAGTCAACACAATTTGTTATGTTATCGTACTGACTGCAAGTAACTTATCAAATCGACTTCTGTACAACAAAACCTTAAATAACTCGCCACTTAAGAGCTAGACCGCTTTAAGCGCTGGTATAAAAATTTGTTTTGAGGTGCTTGTCAACAATATCATTTATTAAACACCGTTCCATGCAATTTTTTATATGCCTCCAACAACTATATTTGAAAATAACTGACGTAGTGACGTTATTTTTAGGATCGTACTCATTATTGGCCGTACGTAATACCTAGATGCAGTAGTAGAACTTGGAGATCCTGATGACACGAGCTGTGTTATCTTGAACACTTGTTCTTTTAGGTCCTATCATTTCAGGCAGGTTCACTGAAAAACGGTAAGACTAAAGATCGAAACCCAAGGTCTGAGGGCGAAGTCGTGTTGTTAGTCTTAATGTACAGAAGTGTGACGGCAGTTTGGTGTTTTCCCTAAACAATTGGGACTGACAGCGACGCTGCCTTTTCTAAACGGAAAGTGGGATAAATTGATTCACCTCACCTTGACCCACAGATTTCTGCTGACAGCGGCAAGGTCTAGAAAATACAGTGCTAAGGCTATTCACAAAAGAGACTATGTGTGACTGACATATAGTAGTCGCCTCTTATGTGTTAATATCATGCTCCTACTTCAAGACCACTGGTTTTTTTTTAATCCTGTCAAAAGAGCATCTTCCCGTGGTATGAGCAGCTGGGAAGTGGCAATCACCATAATTTATCTAACAGTACTCGATATTACCTTGACTGCATATTAACTATTTACACGGTTCTAACAACTAAGATCTAAGTGCTGTTTAGTTTTTTTGTTTCCTGTTGAAAATGAAGGTACTAAAATATTAGATCTTCAAGGTCATTTGAAATATGTCCTTGTCCTGTAAAGTAATATGAAATAAAGGTGAGAAGTACATTATTCCGGTGAAGTAGATATGAACAAATTATTATACTACTGTTTTCCTACTATAACTGTTTGCTGGAAAAGCCCTGTTGTCTCATAAATTAGCTATTCACTAATATCTATTTGGCTTCCCGCTTTATTGTTATTTGTCTGATGTGACAAGAGATAACTAAAGGTCAATAACCCTCCTCCACTTTCATCACACCCATCAAATTGAACTACTGTATATCATCAAGACACTGTTAAGACTTTATGGACACTTTTATCACAATAGAGATACTGTTCCAAGGATTAATAGCTTGCTTGTAAATTATTTTACTCTAAATGAGTACAAGCCTATGTGCTTGGCTTTGGGCTACATATTTTTAGTGTGAGGGCTAGTAACACTATCTGGCCTTTTCAAGTCGAAATAGGCGAAAGGAGGATGAAAACTAATATATAGTAATAATAATAACAATAATAATAATATAAAATTGTCAAACCACTAGACTATCACACCATTAAACACTACTTGATGTCAGCAACTTTTTTTAATTATCGATATGGGGTTGTGGAGATTACGTTTTTGATTGAGATCATGAATTGATCGATGTTAGACCACTATTGAAAACATGGAAGCACTGGATGGCCGTTTAGTCGTAGTATGGTACTCCTCAGCAGGGCGCATCCACGATCCCGCATGCGGGATTCGAACCCAGGTGGAGACAGGTATCTACCTCTGACAATGGAAGGTGGTCGCGCGACACCGTCAATTAGTTAAAGTAAGACACCAACACTGTTGGATGCGGACTCAGTGGCCTGGCGGTTAAGCGTCCGCGCACAAGATCCTGGGTTCAAATTCCATGCGCGGAGTCGTGGATGCGCACTGCTGATGAGCTCCATACTAGGACGAAACGGTCTTTCAGTTCTTCCAGGTTTTCAAAGGTGTTCTGACATCGATCGATTCATAATCTCAATCAAAAACGTGTTAATGCTGTGAAATTCTCTAAATTTACTTATTTTGTACGGCTTAAAACTTAATGAAATTAAAAAAAGAACATGTTAATTTCATTGCAGGCACATTTACATCATTATACAACTGTTGACGGTTTTGATACTAGCATGTTTGAATCAAGCACTAATTCACTTCAGAAATTAATAACTCAATATACGGATTTTGAAAAACAGTCTAATGCACAAGCACTACCCAATTTACCACAGTTAGAGATTATGGATTGAATTTATTCCCAATTGTAAATACATTTTTTAGAACTATTTCTTGCAGAAAGTACTTTATTGCATTTATTAGTTTTTATATTATTCTTGTATACTTAAAGCTTGTATAATTTGTGATGATTATTCTTGTAAATGTGACCTCCATGTTTCGAACTTCTTCGTTACGTCTTAAGACGATAATATAATTTCATCTTAGTACAAAAAAGCTATTAGGTTTAAATGTACTTCAGTTATGGTTTTCACGTCATAACAAGTGTTTTATTATTTATTTATTATTATTATCAGCTTTATTCAATATTATATTTTTTGGTACAATATAGAATTCTCAGCGTAAAGTATTTCAACAAGTTTTCGTTTCTTTCTTCTTGGTCGGTCCTGGCGATAAATATTGAGTGATCTCCAGTTAGATGTTAGCAGTTCACTAAATGAACATCTGAATAATGTGCATTCTTTCCGTTGTATATTGCCAGCAACCACATTGTCTCTTATTGAGTTTTTTGTATCTTTGACAACGAAAGGTTGTACACTTTTCAGAAACGCAGCAGAATAGGTTATGCGATTAATAAACATAGTGATATATTAAAACAAACAAAAATAGATAACTTGTTGAAATATCTAGATGGCAGGAACAGGTAGCCCAGATGATCAAGCAGGCCACCCTTGCCCTAGTAGTGATATGCTGCTTGTAGCAAACAATAAAGTTATTGACTTCTTGTTATTAGTTCCACTTGTCGAAATGACTACAGATAGAAACTTACATTTCACACTATTTCATCTACCAAAAAATATTATTTTATATATAGCATAACTCCGCCTATTAGCTCTTCTAGAGGTACTGCCGGTCGCAAGCCCGGGCAAAGGAGTAGGGTTGGACATGGGGTCAGCAACCCCATTCCGTAGAATACAACCTTACTAAAAAACTGCCAACCAGATTAAACCATTTAAACTGTGTCCTGGGAGTTTGAAGGAAGAATTATAACGTCTCACGATGAAAGCCGAGATTCATGAGGCCGATGAACCTTCCTACAACTAGAGCTACAATCAATATAGGTACATGGAGCGTGCAGACAATGTGACAGGCCGAGAAGAACAGTCAAATAGCAACAGAAATGAGGAGATACAACTTGGCCGTACTCGGAATCAGTACTCGAAACCCATTGGACCCAAGTTGGACAGCAAAGACTAGATACCAGGGAGATGCTACTGTACTCTGTTCACTATCAAGAAGATGCTCCACACACCCAGGGAGTTGCTCTGCTGTCCAAAGAAGCACGTAAAGCACTTGTGGGTTGGAAATCTCATGGGCCCAGGATCACCAAAGCGTCTTTTAAAACAATAGAGAGAATTACAATGAACGTTGTCCAGTGTTATTTACCCACAAGTGATAGCAACGACGACGACAAAAACCAGTTCTATGAGAGGCTGCAATCGATCATAGCGAAGTACTCAGGAAAGTACCTGGCCACCCTGATGAGAGATCTATATTCCCACACAAACGCATGAACAAAGCTACATGGATGTCATCGGACCAAACCACGTAGAACCAGATGGAACATGTTTGGATCAGTAAAAAATCCAGAAGGACAATGGAAGACGTCAGAACCAGGAGAGGAGCTGGCATAGCCTCAAATCACCACTTAGTTGTGGCCAAGATGAAACTGAAGCTAAAGAAGCAATCGACAACTGGACAAACAGGACTACAAAAATTCAATTCAACCTTCCTACGAGCCACTAACAAACTTAACGAATTCAAGATAACTCTCAACATCAGGTTCCAAGCTTTGCATACTCTACGGAAAAAAGAAGAAACTACTATGGATAACAACTGCAAAGGGACAAAAGTAGCATTAACTCCAATGTGTCAGGGGTACTGGGCCGCGAGGAGCATCATCATAAGGAATGGATCTCTATCGAAACCCTGGACAAGGTTCAAGAAAGAAAGAACAAGAAGAAAATAATTAACAACAGTCGAACAAGATCACAGTAAGTCAAGCCACGTGCCGAATATACATAAGCAAACAAGCAAGTGAACAGGAGCATTAGAGTCGACAAGTAGAAATACGTGGAAGACCTAGCAACGACAACGAATAGGCTTCAAGAGAAGGAGATCGTCAACATCATTTGGAATTCATACAACGGACTACACTTCAGAGTAGTGCATGGAGGACAGCTGACTGATGCACTCCAGGTAAGGACCAGAGTCAGATACGGCTGCTTACTCTCCCCCTATCTCTTTCTTCTGGTGGTCGACTGGATTGTGAAGACCTCGACATCTGAGAGGAAACACGGAATACAATGGACAGCTCGGAATTAATTAGATTTTGGACTTTCGCAGATGATCTGACTCTTCTATCCCATACACACGAACAAGTGCACATGAAGACAACTAGTGTGTAGTAAACAAAACAAGAGCGGGGACAATCGGGTGTATTTGACACTAAATCACAGAGCATCTCAATAAAATCTGAAAACCACATAGTAACTAGTTCATTTGCAAAATATCAATCCATCATATCAAACTTGACTGTTCCTGTTGCAGACATCCATCCATTGTCTCAGATTTCATTGTTCATGAGTTTTCATACGAATTGCGTTTCATTTCCGTTCTTTCCTTATCGACCTTCTACTTAAATACATTCTATGCCTGACCACCGTTATATACTACTTATGTGGATATAAGTAACCCACACCACAAGTGTAGCAACAGTCTCCGCATCGGACAGAGGGAGAAGCAAGATCCTCAAATAGAATACGGAAAACAATCCAACTTCCTTGATTATGAAAAAGCATTGTGCAGTGCGGATAGGAGCACTTTATGAAAACTTCTTCGACACTATGATTTACCTGAGAAAATCGTTCTCCATGAGGAGTAACAGGCGTAAACAAATTCATGTAGCACACGACAATTTCATGCAGTTCCATGTAGGGACTTTCAACACGATAGCATAGTTAGCTTACTTGAATGAACAACTGACCCTTTCCTATTCACTGAAATCCATCCCATATTGTGAGAGATTACGGATATCCATCATCGTTAAGATAATCAAATGGACTTTGAAATAATAGCATTCGAATAAGGTTTCATTTTGTGGATAAAAACACAGTACTGGACGGCCGTTTCGTCCTAGTATGGGACTCCCCAGCAGTGCGCATCCACGATCCTGCACCCCGCGGGATTCGAACCCAGGACTAACTGACTCATGATTTCAATCTATGAAAATTTCTAAAATCTCCACAAACCCCTTCTGATAAAAACACAGTAAACGAAAATACCTCATAATTAAGAAAAGTACGCATTTCTAAAATAACTATGTGTAGGTAAATATAAACAGAAAAAAGCATCTATGAGATATAAATAATATTTAAGGCAACATGCGGTGGGCTTTAATTGATAAATTCGGTAAATATACTAACAAATAAAAGTTTTCATAAAATAAATCAACATGCATAAAAACCAGTAAATAATTTTTTTAAAGTAAAAATTGGAAATGCGTATGTCTGACTTGTTCATTGTTATTTTTAACGACTATTTCTTCTCATTAGTTCGGAATTTTCTGCACAAGTCCATGTTCTTTTAAACGTTCTAAAGCTTTTTTAGAACATTCCCTTGTGCTCTCACGATCTTTTTGTTCTAATTCCCGAATACGTCCATCACTGCACCCGGGATACAAAGGTTTAACATCCAGTAGCACTTGATCCGCCGGATCGATATCTGGCAATAGACTCAATGATAATAGAACTTCAAACATGTTTGATTTGCAGAAGTATTCACCAAGAGATCGTTCACCATGTAGAACAAAGTTTTGCAAGATATGAGCGGCTCGATGTTGTAACGCGCATGAAAAGTGCCCAGCTAGTGTTTGAATAATCTCAAACCATGAGGAGACCTAGTTATTTAAAGAAAAACAATGGACCGAAATAGTTTACAAGAATTAATTTTGTTAAAATTATTACACCTAGTGTTTTGTATTGACTTAATTGTTTTCAATGTTGAGATTGTTTGGACGCATTAATATTTGTCGACAACTTACTCGGATTTATATATGATGAAACTATGGACTGTCAATAAAGTGGTGAAATAATTTATAGTCAAATTTTCAAGTTATTCATGATTTCTGAGTCTGAATGCGGTCGATCTAAGACTGTTAGGTGTTTCTGTTATGTAGGCAACTTATTAATCGCATTTACCTTTCTTGATCACTTGTGGTTAAAGCATTTGGCTTTTCGCCACTACATGGCACGTTCGAACCCCGCTTCACCTACTTTAGTTTAGGCGACTGAGTAGTATCATTAGCCCTCATATTTAGGGCATGATTCGCACCTGGTACATAAGTATATTATATACACATTATATATAGAGATGTTTGAACCAACTTCAAATAAAATTATTTGAAAAAATTTAAGCGTTGAGTAAATGGTGATCGTTATTATTAGAAATTTTTACTCTTCAATAAGTAAAAATTTAACAAATTGTTTTTACTAACTTTTCGCTATTTTAAGCTAATAACGTTAGCAAAGTAATGGCATATAACAGATTTTCAATAATGATGTATGTATGTTTAATAAATTCTGAAGAAACCTACTGAAATCGCTTCACCTGGAAGACGATCATGATAACATAAAATTATATCCACTCTCCTTCTTATATTACTATTTTTACAGTAAGTAGTTTTGTAGGAGATGGAATGTAACTTGTAATGAAATTCAGGACAAGCGTTTCGTCCTATTTCGGACTCATCAGCTGAATGTACCTGCTACACCCCTGAGTTGCTGTTGACCTCGGGACTGAAATCAAGTATTGTTTGCTTCAAACACCGTCGCTTTGTCCACTTAGCTACTGAGTCCAGTTAGCGATCCATTTATACAATGAGTATAAGTTTTCATTTAATTTAAAATGGTTTAGATTATCCCGTTAACGATATTTGTCACTGGATTTCGACCGACTGACGAGTGCCAAATTAGATTAAACGCGTGTCTCGGATTCCACTGCTAGTCACATTATATCTGTTTTAAAATAACTTATCGCAATGGTCGCATCGAGACAATCCGCAAACAATACACATATCCCAATCAAGAATGATCGAATTCTAGTCGGAAATATCAACAATGAGATAATCTAATCCATTTCAAATTAAAGTAGTTGTGCTTGTAAGTCTATAGAAACTATATTTGTTGCAATGGAATAATATAATTGATACAAAAACATCTTAAAAATTTATCCACAAATAAAACATGGTTAGTTCGCAATTTGTTTTCGCGAATTGGAAACTTTTTCGTTTTGTCAAACTCACATTAGTAATTTTCCGTATAATTCCTGGATCATATGACATACTGGCCAAAGCTCCAGAAGCTGCACGTACAAGAAGTAAATCATCTAGTTCTCCACAATATAAAACTAGCAATTTTACACGTTCTGTAGGACATGTAAGATATGATAATTTCTTAGCTAAATCTGTATCATCCAAAGGAATAGTACCACCGGAAGATATAACAAAGCCATGAGATTGAGCTAAATTAGCTACACATTCTGTTGCAGCTCTCCTGATCATTGGATGATCTTCAAAAAGACAGTGATCAATTAACGGTAATCCATGTTCTGCCATGATACGATAACTGAGAAATAAACAAGAAATGATAGGAAATCATTGAAAAAGTGAATATCAATTAACTGTACAAAATATTTCCGTTGAAAATGTCTTTCACATTGTGGAAATTAATTAAAAAGACAATTCGGTCCTTTACTTTTGTATTTCAATAACCCTGAAAACAAATTGAATAGTAACAAACAGTATATTCTGTTTCCATATTATACAAAAACAAAGATTTATTTACCGACATAGGAAGTGGTATCGTGAATGTTCACCGCTTAGAAGTCTTATTGTCGTTTAATGCCCTATGATTTTTTAAAATGTATTCCTAATAGATAAATTTAGCCTGAGAATACTTGTAATAACTAATTTGGTAAATCCCATCGAAAAAATATCCAGAATATCACTATGCTTTGCACTCCAAGGCTTACTGTTTGTGTTTTGTATCCAATTAATGGTTGACTGAATTAAGAATACAGCAACCATAATCATTACTTATGCACCAATCCGATAGCTACCAAAAATTTCGAACTATTAACGTACATTAACTTAGTGTTTAATGTGTGAGTTAATAGGGTTAACGTACTTGCTTTTTTTCGAATTTCGATATCTAACTTTCCTTTATTCATATCTTCATGCAAGAATTTGATGTTTTTCTGAGCATAGGATAACACAAAATAACTTAAATTATTATCCGATCCGATCAGTTAAGCCTAACAATAATTCTATACTATACAGGTGGTTTGTGGAGATTGTTGAATTTCATAGCTAGCACCACGGACCGCTCCTAGTTAATTATGAAATTCAACAATCTACACAAACCCCATATATAATAATAATCATATGCTCCCAAGTGTCCAATTTGGAGAGGTAATTCCAGGAGTTTTAGTTAGAAGCCGTGTCCAGTGGAGTTCGACTGTGTCAATTGTGAGACAGTTACCCGCCAGTGACATTGAAAGACAGTTCATCAATATCACGAATTGATTGAAGTTAGACGCGTAAGCTATCGGATGCGAACTCAGTAGTCTAAAGATTGAACGCTCACCATAAAACCTAAAAGCTCAGGGTTAGATTGGCAGAGGAGTAATGAGTGCAAACTGCTGAGTTGAATACTATGATGAAACAGCTGTCTAGTGCTTTCTGATTTTCAGTGGTTGTTTAACTAAAATCAGCCTGTGATGGTGATTATAGAAAAGTACCAATATATTCCTGCTTTATTACAAATAAATAACCATGAATAACGTCAAGTGTGTGGAAACCAACTAGCATAATATATTAACAGTTCCATTACTTACCGATGTGTATCTCCCAATGAAGCTAAATTTGTCAAAGCCAATAGACCTTCAAAATTTTGTAATGCATTACAATCTGCATGAATTAAATGAAGCAGTGGGCGAACAAGTTCCAATGACTGGGAACAATATACAAAATGGAACGAAGAAACAACAAACATGAATCTCTTTAAGATTACATGTAACGTTTATGCTACTCAAATGAATCGTAGTGAGATACAATATTCAAATATAAAAACATGTGTTATGTGGTCGAATATAGTCAATAGGAAACCCTGCTTAACCTGGGTTTCATGCTAGTTAGTAGTCGTCAGAAAGATGTACCGGCAATCTTGAGAGAATCAATATTCCCCATGCAAGGTTAACAGTGTATCACCCAATTTCAAAGTATGAGAAGTCATCATTGAGAATTCGGGGCTCAAAAACGCGTTTAGGTTTGAGTATGGTTAGGCGTATGTAGATGAGACGTTAAAATTGATATCTGTGGATTTAAACATAATAAGCTTTATCGGATACATATTTAGTTATGACAATTATTCTTTAAAAATAATCTAATTATCCAGTAGAACGTCTCATTGCTATACTAGGTGAATTATTTTCGGTAAAGACAGTATACCGCTTCTACCTTGTAGATAATTGGATAGAATAATAGTTAATACACTAATTCCAACTAATTAAATTTTAAACTTCAATCAATTCAATAAACGTGATTTCTAACTTTAGAAAATAAACATGATTAAGTAATATAACCAAAGTTCTAAGAATTCCCATATTGTGCATTAAAACAACATATGTAAGTAAACAAAATTGTTTTCGATTAGATCTTCATCAGGCTTTACTCTAATATACAGTAATATTTATATGCGTGTCCGAAATTATTAAACCAATCACAGCAGTTAGTCTTAGAGATAACAGTCGAATACATTACATAAATAAACATAATAAGCGAAAAGTATAAATTGATAGTGTGATGACAGGCGTACTAGTTGTGATAAGAATAATAAAGGCTTGAATCCATGTTTCATAATGGGAAATAGGTCAATGACTTGAAAAATATTGATCCTGAAATCGAAACCGTAAGATATACGTAATGAGAAGTGTTCAGATAATTGGGCAATGAAGCAATGATTTGCAAAAAGGGGGAGTGAGGCGTATTAAACGAACCAAGAGTATGGAAAACGATAAAATCGTTTATCAAGGCTAATTCGGCTGAAGAAGAGAGAAAGGTGTTAGGACTATTTTGTGAATACAAAGACTTGAGGATCTAATTAAAAACAATACTGTTTGGTTATATATGTTAGTCTAATTAAACAATTAACAATCATTTCATACCTTTTGTCCTGGAAATGTTACACGTGGATCTGCAGTGATAGTTAAACGAGCAAGAGCTTGAGAAGCTAACGTTTTACCTGTATCGGTATTCAAAGCACTCTTTGATAATTTAAGAAGAGCTTTCCCAGAACCACCTTGTACAAGTTTACCACGACATTCAACTAATTCGGAACAGGCTAAATAAATGCTTTAAATGAAAAGATAACAAGTGATTAGTGTCAAAAGAGACACAGTAAGGTTATTGTTATATTCTTATGGCCTGGTTTATGTATTACGTGACACGACCGCCAATTAAAGACACCGACTTATACGACCAAACTAATGACTTATAAACCTATACGAGCAGCCTAGAGTTCTTACTAGTCCTCCAAAACAGTAGTTTTTTTCCTAATCTAGCCCGTTTAGTCCAGAACGCTAATATCAGCCTCTGCGATACGAATTATATATTTCACACATACGTGGTCTATATATAAACAAACCAGACTGCATCATACCATGAAATAGAAAATAACAATTATACAAGATCAGGTCAAAAGTGGCTGTGATTGTGAGAGACTCTAACTAATAAATTAGGAATATCTTAAGAATAGCAAACTGTAAAATAATAGTCAATAGGTCGAATAAAAGGAATATGAATGTACATATAATATAATTACTTAATAGTTATAAGATAAGAATAATCCACAGATAGATCCTAGCAATTACTGTTCACCCATTCTTTGTCCGGATATAACAGCTATAGATGAATTTTTTCAAAAGTATGCTGGCTTGATAGTTAATATCTGATGGTCAAAATATAGGACGGAAAATTTTCTGACTGGTTTAAGAGATTGGAACAATAATAAAATTGACTTGATTATTAGTTACCTAAACTCTAGATAATGAAAATGAACTGAGACGATTTAACAAACAAAGCGAAGTTACAGAAGCCACTAACTTTTTACTTAATATGTCGGCAAAAACTTTATACTGTTAATTACACGGAGAATGATTGGAAATCCGTTTTACTGATAGATCATTTTGTATGAGAAATTTCACGACTAACTACAAAACATAGGTATCCGTGAGTCAATTAATTAGCTTACTTTGTGATTGCTTATAATAGTATGATAAAATTTTATATATTTATGATGTGTTGTGTGAAAACCAGACATGTACATGATGCCTGAATATCGCATAGTGAGATTCATGAATGGATAATCTATTTTGAGTGAGCAAATTATTTACTTATAACTAATATCATTTTCTACATATCGTTATTGTTAGGTATGCAGAGGAATATGCCAATAATTATCGTGTTAAGTCGAATGGTGTCCTTGAACGTTAAATGGACATTTCCCATTGGTCGATGTTTGTTTCACTTGTTAAATATTGTGTAAATGTTGTTTTCTATTTTATGGTACGATGTGGTTTGTTTGGTTAGTATATAAATAGAGTATGTCTGAAATACAATGATTCATAACTCAGAGGCTGTGACTTGTGTTCTGGACTCAACTGGCTGGACTAGACAGGGAAGCGGGACCAATCGGGACTCGAGGTCGCCCGTACGTGTTTTCCGTGTTACTGTGATCGATCGATATAAACGCTGCTTATCAAAACCTGCAGTCACACGTTACAACAGTTATTTTGATCAGTTAAATCACTGAAAAATATCCATGTGAGTTGTAAGCATTATTATACGGCTTTAGATACGCAAGCTATGAATGTGATTTTTCTGTTCTCCCTTTAAGTAGATGGGTTGGTCAAACATTGAAAACGCGTAGAGTAATTAAACCAGACAACAGACAATAAAACTTTGCTTTAGTATCAACGAAAGGCTTAAGGGATACAGATAAGATAATTATGATAAATGCAATAATAATAAGTGATAATAGGCAAAGGATTATTCGGACTTCCCATACGCAAGAATTCTGCGGTCAGTAAGGTAGGAAAAGATGTAGATAAGGGGAAATAATAATATCTATTGAAGTGAAGGTTTAAAAAAAGTTTAAAAGGGACGAATGAGAAGTACTGGCTAATAATATGCTTAAGATCTATGGAAAAATAAAGAATGAATACGAATGCGCCAATACGACCAATTCCAGGGCATGGTGTCCAACGTCTCTAACTATGACTATTTCGCAATTTGCAATAGGGATTTTAAATCGGTGAAAAATACTCAAACAGAGACGGTTGGAAGAAAGTTAGGGACGGGCAAACCAAAACGTGGCATCAGTCCTTGAAGACACTAATTTTTGGTCTGAGCCATGTTGGTAGATGCAGACTACTTGGTTGGGGTCCGCGTGACTATCGTAACCAATGGTTGGGAGACTCTGGGTGACATGGATCAGAATCGATGACAGTGGCGTGGGAGTATACACTCTCTGTCTTCTCTTAAACTAAGAGATTAAAATCGCTTCATATCTTTCTTTCTACGTACGAAATCTTTCTTCCTGTACTATATCCTTATATGCAATCTTTCTTTTATACGTTACTACCTTTGAAGTGGCTACTTTTATTAAATTGGTGTTCATCTTATTGTGCTAATGAGGTAATGGCAACCTGTACTGATGTATATATGTGCCTGGTCCTACGTTGTAGCTGACTGACTTCATCAGGATCTTTTAGTCACCCTTCAATTTACGCATTTGTTAGCCATCAAAAATGAATCAGCGTAGTTACTGGCTAAACACACTTAGTACATGTCTCAACTACCAACGTCCATGAATATTTACAACCCAAAAAGTCAAGTCAGTCGTTCTGTCATGCATTTTTGAAGTGAAAACAGATTAATTTCACTACATTTCAGAAGTAAATTTTTCGTAAAAATCCAAACCCTTCAAATATCTTAAAATTGAGGAGCACTGATAGTTGTAGACAACAATCATGTTCAGGTACACAAAACCATGGAAATTTTAAATGTAAAGTGAAGAACAAAAACAAAGTATCTTCAGATGTTAGTTTACTGAGAACTTATCAACAAAATGTTTAGGATAGATTTATCACGAGTTAATATTAGCTGAAAAATTGTTCAAGCATCAAGTAACTTTTGTAAACGCAGTCGGAAAGCTATTATCAACGTAAGGTCTGACACAAATGTACATTAGCCCATGTTCCTATAACAAATAGGCAGAAAAAAGTTAAATCGAGAAAATAACTTTCAAGAGTCGAAATAGTAGTAATATTAAGGACAAGTGACCGATATTTTTTATAGCTGTGATAAGATTATACTAGTCCTAAATATTATAATGAATAATTCAAATATTACAATATAGGAAAGGAAATAGAGTTATTAAAATGTAGGAATAAACGAAGTTTTGCCTAGAGCAGCCATTAGTCTAAACTATAGAGGATCATTCCAATATAGTGAAACACGAGATTTTATATATATATACGTATATGTACAGCTGTCTTAAAAAAGAGGAAACATCCAACATTTCATGAACTAACTTACCGAGAAATTAGTTCGAACAAACCCTGATTTGTTCCGACCAAAGCAGTAGCTATACGCATTGTCAACTGATATAATGAAGAAGCTAAACCCATATTGATTAATTTTTGACGACGTTCTTGAATATATGCATCTGAGTCGTATGGATGATCTTCTGGAATATGTTGTTTAGAAAATTTCGCTAATTCAAGGATTTCAGGTTCAATTTGTTGACGTTCAAAACTATTCGTTAAATGAGCTAAAACACTGCATAAAGCAAATGATGAATCTTTTTGACAATGCTAAAAATGATTTTAAACAGAATTTAAAAGAGCAGTGTGAATAGAAAGTTTACATAGGATCAAATGATGATGCTGTCAAAAAACTAGTCATCGTTTCTCTAAAATTATCTAACTGGATTTCAGAAATCTTAGTTTTTGAAATTTGAGTTTATTGGAAAATATCCCCGCCCTAAAGACTTTATATATTGTTTTCCAGTTATCTTTGAAAATTGAATCAGCTATAGATTAAACAACATTCTTCAACCATCGTTATGTATACGTATATTATAACAAAAATGATTTATTGATTAATTAATTTGTTTGTGCAGTTTTGTTCTAACTCAAGATAGCTTTTATTGTGAACTGAAGACCAGGTAGTATTAAAAATATATTTGTTTGTAGTCTGGGATTTCTCAGCAGTCCGTATCCACTGTCATACACGAAAAATAATTCAGAATATCTAAATTTTACAGGGCGATTGACTATATTCATCCACTGAGTTGTAATGTTATAACTGAAATCTTTGTCAAAAAATAGGATACATTTTCAAGGATTAATAAAATATAAACAAACCGATTGTTGAACAGTGGGTGAGCAATATACATCTCGATTTTTAAGCAGGAAACCGTGCCTAGTATCATCAATAATCGTAGATGTTTTAAACAACGTTGATCGATAGTTACAGTGAATTTAGAATGACTGAATTGAGCAACTGAGATCATCGTATTCCAATTTGACAGGATGAAGAGTACCGTACTTATTACGAGAGCTGAACTTTTTTCCAGATTCAATAATCATAATCTGGAACAATCAGACATATCAGTTCAAGGCCAAGCGACAAATGTTGGCAAGTGAATGCTATTGACCAAGGCTCAACTTAATTTTCTGAGGGGAATAGACAAATACCAATGGCGAGAAACTGATTCAAGTTTTTGAGAGGTACATCTATATTGATGAATGAGTTTGTATTTATACGCAGATTCGGGTTAGCCAATAATAATTTCCTACTCACTCTTAGTTTTCTCACTCAAGTAGCTGGTCGAGCTTGCGCATAGGAAGCGTAAACTCCGGTCGTAGAATTGAACGACCGCCTAACACAAAAAGTACCCCGTAATTTTGTAGGTGCAGAAAGTTTCTTTAACTACGCATTATGCATCCAACAAAGGGAATAAACTGTCAAGTTATGTTGCACGGTATATTAATTTATAAAAAAAAACTTGGGGATATCAGTAGTTTATTTGAACGTCGTTTTGCAAACAACACTTACTGAACAGAGTAAAATATCAATGAACTCAAAATCGTCACGAAAACTATACATGAAGTCACAAATCTGGTTTTTCTTTTATTACAGAACTAAACTGAGTTATTTCTGTACCCATGAGTTTTGAATTTAACCTTGTTCATGAATGGTCAATTAGAGGTTAAGACAACAAACAATTACCTTTATCGAGTGTAATGTTTTCTTCACAGTCCCAATCACTAATTTTCACATGACTACAAAAGAGTCCAGTTATCTACGAATGAGAATCTAACAAGATTATCTGATATGATGGATCAAGAATTAAACCTAGTAGTTAGGCATTAATCCCATTGGAGAGTTAGTAACCTATAATTAGTTGTTTTATCTTCCAATCGCTTATTTATTGAATGATAGCTAACCATATTTATTTTTGTGTTTATTATTTTCATTTAAGCGAGTTATTTTGTTGGAAGATATATTATCTTCATCTGGCTAATGGTACTGTCTTATAATATCAGTTCATTCAAGAATTTCAGTTAATAATTCTGTCCCATCACTAAGCCAATTTGCATTGGCGAATCCTAGTGGAACATCGTTATCATCATATGACAAACGAAAACCATGTATATTGAATCCATTTATGGTGAAAAAACAATGAAAACTACAAAAATCTTCAAAATAACAGGTGAAAATATAACATACTTCAGCAAAACGTAATAAAGCTGACACTAAATGACCATCGTTAATTATTTCCTCTTTAACATCTGCATTCATTGTTATATAAGCCATACCTTCAACAGCCCAATGAGCAGAATCTAAATCATCGAAATGAATAGTACTAGCAGTAGAACCATTTACAGGTTTGTTATCCTTTTTTTTCTCCACTGGTTGACTAGCTGATACGTCTTCAATTCGAATTTCATCATCATCATCGTCATCATTCTCATCTACAACAACTTCTCCTTCAGAATTAAAATGAACATCGGCTGATTTATTTGCAGAAATATCATCTACATCAGGATCTGGTTGTCGTTTACCCAATAATAGCCGACGACATGCTTTGAGAAGAAGTAGATTAGAGCCTTCTGTGAGACTTTTCACACTAGCATCTGTACCACCAGCGGCACCAAGTTTACATAAAGCCTAAAATAATAATATGTAACCAGTATTAAAATCTGAAGTCCTGACTATAGTATTGCTTTGGCCATGCTTCAATAAGAATATGTCAATTTGTCTATTTGTCTACTGTCCAGTTTGTCTAAGTAATCAACGCTAGCAGATGAATCTAGCTACTGGAAGTTTTTGTTGTGAATTCTACACATATTGTAGTATTTTTACTACTCTCTTTTTGTTATTGGAATCACTAGATTAAATATTGTTGGACCACAATTGTTGTTCCGATTTAAGAAAAGTTGAGTGAAGTATTTTAGTCACGAAATACTTAACAGTAGAGAACCAGTTAACTAAAAAGAAATCATAGATCTCTAAATAAGAACACATCAACACGGATTGTGACTACGATTTTTTGAATAAGAGACTGTAAAAATGCAGTTCATCTAGATAAGCAATTAAATAGTTGGAAATGAGAAAATTTGAAAAATATCCCATATTTTCACGTTACATATTTATCAGTGTATGGAAATTAGATCCATCAAAAGTGAAAACCAACTGGTAAACAAAGAAAATTGGTTTAACAAAGACTTTTACTTCCAAGTGAAATTATTCTTATGGCTGTATAATAATTAACTCAATTATTGAACAACTTATCGATACAGATCATTTGATCAAAACAATCACATTCACCTAAGTCAAGGTGAAAAGAAAGCTACGCGAACTAGTGAGATTTTGTCTTTGCTTCATTCATGAAGCTTTTACCAAAATTATGCATACAAAAAAACTACCATAGTCGTAACCCTCAGTTTCCCACAGACAACCTTTCTCCCCGTTTCTTATATATTCTTTTGACCTTGCCTCTATCCTCTCTCAACAGATTGATTTGTTTTTCTATGCCTTTTTGAATCTATTTCACATAAATTTCAAAATTTGACTTGTTTCATTACCCAATCTATTCTAACGGTTGATAATATTTTATGACATTCTTGATAAATATTCAACCTCTTAAGAAGTACACTTTTCATCCTTTTATAGCTAATTACGTCGTACTATCCCATTAGTTTTTTTCCCTATATTATTGCTATTATCAACAAACATATTTAATTATCAAAATGTAAAAGCAATATACATTCGCAATTGTACAGCTATGAGAATGAATTCGCAGAAAAGAGTACATTCTTGAATTAGTTTATTCTTGTTATTTCAATGGGTGTTTTTGATTTACACAGGTTGAAATCATGAGTCAGTTGAAGCTAGACCACCATTGAAAACCTGGAAGCACTGGACGGCCGTTTCGTCCTGGTATGGGACTCCTCAGCAGTGCGCATCCACGATCCCGCACCACGGCCGTATAGTGCTTCCAGGTTTTCAATGGTGGTCTAGCTTCAACTGACTCATGATTTCAACCTGTGTAATTTCTAAAACTCTCCACAAAAACCCATTCTGATAATAATCAACTGCTCACTAGTGACTGACTTCAGGAAAAACTCCTGGAGTTCTAGTGAGAAGCCGTTACCAGTGGAGTTCAACCGGTCTGTTGTGAGATAACAACTCACTGAAGACAATGGTGTATGGTGGCGCAACTTCGTGGATTGGTTGAAGTTAGACATTAACACCGTTGGATGCCGGCTCAGTGGTCTAATGGTTAAGTGCTCGCGCGCGAAGCCAGTAGGTCCTGGGTTCGAGCCCCGCGTGGTGCGGGATCGTGGATGCGCACTGCTGAAGAGTCCCATACCAGGACGAAACGGCCGTCCAGTGCTTCCAGGTTTTCAATGGTGGTCTAGCTTCAACTGACTCATGATTTCAACCTGTGTAAATTCTAAAACTCTCCACAAAAACCCATTCTGTTTTTGATTTGTTTAAGAATCATCAAAAACTTGTAACAAATAACCTATAAATTAAACTAATTTACACAAAGTTTAAAAAAAAACTATAATAGTAAACTCATTAATAACTTCAAGATGTTTTGGAATTTCTAGAGAGATGGCGTGATTGTTGAAGTTCAAGTATGTAAAAAGTGGTACAGTTTATTACTAACGGCATTGTATGATCGTTAGATTGTTTCGTGAATTGATCGAAGTGAGGATTGTACCACCGAACCCTAAGCCGATAGTTTTAGTGATGAAGGGTTCACCATGAGATCTGAAGCTCATGGGTTTGATTCCCGGCGAGGTCGTAGGCGTTCACCGCCAGTCTCACACCAGGACGGAATAGTTTTCTAGTGCTCTCTGGTTTTTAATGGCACCCCAATTGATGATCAATCTGTAATGAATACACCTTAAAAAATAAACTAATCTCCACAAAATACCTTAAACGAAAGAACCTATTTATAAAAATAAAATGTTAAAATTGTTTGTAAAAATAACTTACAACAAGTGCTCGAATTCTAGTACCATCATTTTCACTTTTATACAATGATTGTAATAAAGGGACAGCTTTAGAAATTATACTTAAACATTGTTGTTTCTTATGTGTGGCAATTACAATTGTATCTAATGCAACTGTCTAAAACGTAATGCATAAATACATAAAAACTCGTTACGAAAAGATTAAATAGAGGAAACAAGCATGAAAAAAGGTGATAATTCAATGAGAGAGATACGAGCATGATTACAAATTGGATGAAAAGGTGATAGCATCCTTTATATTTATTCAGTACAAATATCGTATTTAAAAAATGTAGTTTGACGTATCCTTCGGCTTAAAATCTACATTTAATAGTAATTAAAATTATTTATGTATAGATTAACAAGAAGGGACATAAATTTTCATTTACACATATGAGTACGATCATGAATTTACCCTGTTCATCAAGTAATTACTTTGGCGTTCTGTGAACAAGACATTGTAAAACCAGTTGAATAGACTAAATTAGTTAGATAAGCATATGTCAAACACAATTCATCATTTAGTCATAAGGTTTAGATAGACAAAAACATTAGACTGAATATTTGAGGGAAATTAAACGATAATATCTCCCACCAACTAAAAGCAATATGATCTCGGTCAGAAGACATAAACTTAAAAGTCTATAGGAAAATAGACTAGTTATGAATTTGATCTGAATGCTAGTAACAAACTTAGGACTAAACTGCTTCAATAAAGCTTCATAAGTTTGGATCATCAGATCTAGATTAAGTAAAACTATCAAGCTACTATCTGGTTGATGTGAGATTTTATCCACCATGTTAAATCCGAGCGAAGATTAAATCACGAGTAACTTCTGAGACATTAATTGACTAATATTATCTATATATTCTTATGGTATAACTATTCAACAATTAGATTATGTATATTTATATTCCTCTTATTATAAGCTTTATTTTGACCTATCATTTATTATTGTATGATTTACGGTTCTTAAGCTATGTTCAGTTTATTAACTACTGCCTCCCACGTTCACAGCCACATTTGGCCAAATATTGTACAAATGTTATTTTCTATTTTATGATACGTTGTGATCTGTCTGGTTGATAGATAAACCGAGTATGTTTGAAATAAATGATTCATATTGCAGAAGCTGGTATTGTTGTTCTGAACTCAAGTGAACGGGCTAGGCGGACATAGGACCAATAAGGACGCTAGGTTGCTCATACTGGACGAACGTCACTGGTTCTGTCACAGTGCTAAGATTGTATAAGTCGTATTTTGATTGGTGGATAAATCACATGATAAAAAGCCGGACATAAGGTCATAACACGCCAAGTCATAGTAAACTGGTCATTTTACTTTAGTCTGTTCTGAGTACTGATTGCTGACACTGGGGCTTTATCATCATGAATGTTCGTGAAGTAAGCTAACTATGACTCACTGTGTAATCACTTATTTACATACATTAAAATAAGTAGATTCCGAGAAGCCAAGATACTGCTTCGATCTCGGCTGCGCCATTCCAATGAATCTAACACAATATGGCAAAACTAGCAACGACAATCAATAATCGGTAAATACAAGGGGGAATGAATATGGTTTATATAGTTGAACATAGTTTATTCTTCTTTTAAACCGGATAAAGAGAATTACTCAGTCGCTTTCCAATAGTAATTCCAGGTTGATTAACAGCGCATATAAATGATTTTATATTCACCAAATAACCATATTTCAAAGTCACAGGTCAGAGTATCATTGTCAAACATTTTCGAAACTCAACGAAACACAAAATGCTAATTCGGAGCAACCGTACTCGGTATTCTTGTTTTTTAGTACAGTCTGTATTCATTACTATTGTATCAACGCACATGGGTCACACAGACAAACTATGAAATGATCAAACAAACTTTCACTTTAATAACTGTCAGTAGCAATGAATTATAACCTATTGAAATCCTTTACCTTGGACCTTAAGTTTTAAAATTGTCTTACACTTTTCTGTTCAGCTCATTCATTCTCTCTTGTTTGTGTTTAACTTTTTTCTACCATCACTGATATTATGAGTACTCATACTCATACTTATACTCTCTTACATTTCTCTTGACAATGCAGCAACTCGAACTGATGAATCCGTGTGCTAGGATTAATTTGCTTATGTTGATGACCACAATGAAACAACTTACCTGATAAAGTTTATTCTCACATTGTGTAAGAAGCAATAGACCATCAAAACCCCTTCTTGAGAAATTATTCCTGATCCAACTTCATAAGGTCCGAGGAATAATGTACCAATAACTGAGGCAGCTTCAACCTTACTTTCTATATAGTTATCAGCGAATAATTCACTAGAATAGAAACATTTTTCTCAACAAAATTACAGACATCAGTAAAAATACAAGCAATCAAACCACAGCTAATATGAATTAAAAGTTTCGCAAATAAGACATCAGTTAATTAGTTGATAAATGATTTGGCAATGAGTGGTTATTAATATCATATTTGTTTAATCTTTAAGTGCTAACCAAATTCTATAAATCAGGCTGTAATATGGCAGTCTGAATGACTCGATATCATACCCACTAACAACAGCAAGCTAAAAAATATGACATTGATCATTATTCAGTGGTCAATCAGTTGTTGATTTTTAAGTCTTACAGGAGTTCACTGAGGTTCTAATAGCTTCGTGACAGTGTCTTATACTGTAAAGCTAAGCGATGGGTTCCAGATCCCACAAGAAGTACAAGTTCCTATCAGATTGCAGGTACGTCCTACAAGTAGATGTCAACTATCATGAAACTTAAGCCCAAGAATTTTCTATCGACTACCTTCAACTGCTTAACATCAATTAATATAACTCCATTTACTATGTGTGTTTATCTATTCGGCTTTTAAAAGTACACTTTATGCGTAAACGTTACTGATATTACTATTAGGCTGTTCACACCGAAATAAGTTTGGTGGGACTCGAACTCGGGACTTACTATCTACTGCAAGCCGAGTCCTTCAACTATTAAAGCACCGCTCAATAAAATTAGACAATACCGTACTAAACAGATCATTTATTTTTCTCATTATTTGTACAGTGTATCTACTCAATTCATGAGAGAAATAATTGAGGTCCCATCTTTAAAAATTTAGTATAAAAATAAAATTAAAGCTCAAATTAAAGATGAATTATGGTTGTTAGTTAGTATTTTTAAAAATATACGAAGAGATGTAAATAGATAATAAAGACAATTTTTATTCAAAACATTTAACAAAAAACCGATATCTAATTTTCTTAACAAGTCAACCTTCATATTGAAGCTTCGATATCACAGGGAACTAACAAGTGATGTTCGAATGAACGTAGAGCTTTCACAATGGTTGGTAATGTTTCACAACTTACACGAAACCTCAAGTACACCAAATACTTAACACTAATGGAAATCAAAATGAGAAAAACAGTATACTGTGAATGCATTAATTTAACATTATGACCAAAAATTATTGTGATCATGATCTTGATATTTTACTTTCCATTTAGTTTCCTAATACTGAATAGTTGACCAAAGTCTTAAGTGTCGCATCGTTCTGTACACATTCACAGCATCACATATTAATTATACATTCAGTAGTTCTCGTATTTCTACTATGTTTTCAAGCGCCCATCTAAACAAATTATACAAGGTAAACTTATTTCATTTTGTAAGCTTTATTTTTTACTTTCTTGATTAAAATCATCCATTTCATGAAATTTTCACTCGCATTTGCGCAATACCGAAATTTCTGGGTTCGAGTTGCACATGCGGAGTCATGGATGCACACGGCTGAGGAGTTCCATACTACGATGAAACGGCCGTCCAGTGTTCCCAAGTTTTTAATGGTTGTCTAACATTGATCGGTTTATAATTTCAATGAAAAAAGTAAAATGATTAAAGTTAGAAATCCAGACCATTAAATATCAAGTTAATAGTTCGAAGGCAACGTACTGGTTGCCAGAGAAGAAAATTATGCATTCAACCTCTGTTGACGTTGCGAGTCTTGATAGTTTTATACTAGGAAGAAACAATTATCCGATGAGCGCTAGCTTCCAATGATTTCGCATTTGACGACATTAATTGATGATAAGACCATATATCAACTCAAACAAACTTCTCATCTAGATAAAAATGTTAAATATATAACTAATTCATAGAAATAATGAATAAAAGAGAATATGATAGTTTTACTTACATGATAAAATCTTTGCATATTTTAGTGTATTCATCTCGACTTTTGTCTGAAGTTAAATCATCCCATATCTTAGCTAATAAACAAGCTACAGTCATGCGTGTATCACTTGTAGTAGCTAAACGAATTCCATCTGGTGAATTTTGACATGATATTCCATGTTTATTAGAAATTAGTTCTTTATTGGTATGTTTATTAATACGAGATGAACGCCAATTTTTTAATGAAGTTATTCCACTTGCACAAGCTATCTCTAGTAATGAATCGATAACACCTTGAAACAAAAAAAATGAAGAGAAAAATTCCATAAACACAAATGCGTAAAATTACTTAGTGAACTATTCAAATGTATAAAGAATCATAGATGAGTGATATCATTAAACGATTTGTTAAAAAGTGAAATCCTTTATTCAAGATTTGCCTTTTCAGAAAGAAAAGTGATATGAAACTAATATATAGGTTAAACTTGACATCTCTGAAGTTTAGACATTGGCAAAGAGGCTTACACAAGGCTGTGAAAAGCTTAACTGCTTATTTATGCTGTGTAAAACACATTAGTATTGCTAATCATAAAGTTCAATTTCAAAATTATGTTTTATATGCGTTTATCTAGGCAAATTATAGCACATACATCCAATCTAACTAATATTGGTGTCTTGTTAAGAGATAAATTAAAGTATGGCTAAATAAACCAGATTCTTATCAAGTCATTCATACGCATACAGTTAAATGGACTTCATTAAACGAGCTGGTAATTAAGAAACGTAAGTGGACCACGAGGCCCTGAATGGTGGTCCCATAAATTATACTACTTTATATGACTTGAGATTTGTTCTAGAATCAAACCAACTAGTTAAATTTTGAGGTTTTGCCTTTGATCAGAAAGATTATAAGGAATAGTGACGTTGTCTTCCTACGTGTTACCTGTGTCGTTTCATTTTTTTCATTCTCTGAAGTGACATTACACTGTCTTATGTAACATCTCTTCATGCACAATGTTTGTGCTGAATGAATCGTTAAAATAAACCAGTAGTAAATAGCACCAACATTTATCGGCGAAGCCAGTCATTTGACGATAGGACACGTGTCCGTGAATTTGTAGCACACTTGAGTCTCAATGTTTACTATGTCTGTAATATCTATCACTTTTCTGTTCCTTTAGTAAGTGATTGCTGCATATAAAAGCACAATTTCCACTGGGGATCTCATTTCAAACTCTATCTTTCACTTTATTTGCTTCTTTCATTCGATAATTTCGGATGCGCTACAGTAGCATGTTCACAAAAGATATATACAGATAGTAACAGATGATCAAAATTAAGTCCCTGTGGAAAATTGTACATCATCACTGACACAGTAAATAAACGGAAAAATGATTGAAAGCACTGTATAGAGCACCTTTATTAAATGTCGTAAAAGGACAGTTATCCTCACATGTTATTTGCTTATTCAGTCAGTCAGTAACAACGTAGAACTTCGTACGTACGTACATCAGTTCGAGTTGCCACGCAACATTAGCACAGAGATGCAGTGGTCGATTCAAATCCCGTAGTAGTAGAGGTAATAAGAGTATAAGCAGTAATCGGGAAGATTAGTGTTTGGAGATGTTACTTAAAGAGTATAATACAGTGAAATAAATTTGAGAGGAAAAACAAAGAGACAAGGAGGAATAAGGAGATCAAAATTCGGGAGAACACAAAGAGTGCATGCACCTGCGCAATTGCAAACGATTTTGAGCCATGTCATTCAGGGTCTCTAACCATCGGTTGTTATCGTCTCGCTGATCCCAACCAGGTAGTCTACACCTACCAACATGGCTCAGTCCACTTGTCAGTGACTTCATGGACTTGTGCCATGTTTTGGTCTGGCCGCCCCTAGCTTTCTTCCAACCTAATCCTATACCACTGAACGTCGCACGTCGAGGCATTCGGTGGTTGGGCATACGTAACACGTGTCCAAGCCATCTCAACTGATGAAGTTTCACTACGTCATTGCTTATTAGGATACTACTTTTCAGCAATGACCTTTCTGTACTGAAACAATAAGCTAAATGTTTTTGACAAAGATAAACTGCCTAGTCAGAAAAAACCATATTTTAATTAATAAATATTGTTGTTTAACCACAGTCATATAAGGTCAATTTAAGGTGAGATATTACGAAAAACTGCCAAAATAAAATATCCAGAAGGACATACCTTCTATTTTAAAAATTTTCTGTGACCATCCAATACCTTTATCAGATGGTACATATCTAACCAATATTTCCAAAATATAGTCTCGAGTTTTGGGGCATAACCGATAGCTATTTACAGATCGAAGAAGACTTGTTAAAATTTCCTCCACTGGCTTTTCAACTGTAGAGTCTGTAAAATGTAAATATATTGTTAAACTAAAAATGTGAATGGTTCCAAGTTATCATTTATATATACTGTCTGGATTATTAGGAAGGAAGACCAAATATATTACCACTAAGACAAAGATCATTAAGACTTCTTGAAGCATAGACGTAGGTGACTTCTTTCAGTTGGAAATTTACGTCAAAAGAAATGAATATATGACAAAAAACAACACTTTTAATCAAACTTCAATCATCTCAGTTACGTAACATTTCCCACTTCCTTGATCTATATCAGGATATGAAGCACTTTTCGAGAATCCTTATTACTCTAATGAGTTAAAACAACCAATTTATCTATTAATGATTTAAGAAAACATTCATTGTACGTATAGGGTTGTGGAGAGTATTGAATTTCATTGAAATCATGGGCGATCACAGTAAGACTACCATTGAAAACGGGCCATGTCGTCCTAGTGTGGGGCTTCTCAACAGTGCGCATTTAAGCCCCCCTGCATATGAGGAGATTACACCCGCGACCTTCGGTCTCACGCGCGAGCACTTAACCTTTAAACCACTGAGTTGGCGTCCAACAGTGTTAATGTTTAACTCCAATCAACCCACGATATTGCGCAACCACCCTCCATTGTCTTCGGTGGGTACCTGCCTCACAACCGACATGGTTTAGCTCCACTGGTCACGGTTTCTCGATTGAACTCCGGAAATTTCCTCTTGAAACTAGTCGTTAGTGAGTACGTGATAATAGTGGTTCAAGTTAGACCGGCTCAGGGTTTCAATGAAAAAAACAACTGTTATTATAACCAAATCTAGGCCAACGACATGCTCTTATCTCTTAGCTTATATTTAAAAGAGAAATAGGTATTCCGAAATACGCAACTGACAGCAAAACACATTAACCGTGTGTCGCATTTAAAACCAACCAATAAAAACTGTCGAATGTCAGCAGAACATTTATTGATTTTTATCACCAAAATATGCCTATATAATTAAGATTTTGTTCTTCAAACCTAGTAAGTAAAGACAAGTTTCAATACTAGATTTTGAGATACATTTATCATGTGGCGACAAGAGATACTACTTGATTACCCTGAGAAAAGTACATAGAGAAAAATATGAATCTGCGGTCTGGAAGTTAGGACCAGAATAGTCGAAACATCGATTAACAAAGGTAGAATTAGGTAGTATACATGAATAGTTTAATGAGTGGTTATTAATGAATCGCTGAAACTTTACATTCATTAAACTATCTTATTTGTAATATAGAGTAACGTTCATCTTTCTGTTCAAATCACATAAATATAAAGCGAGTAAGCATTACTCCTGTATCTTATTAATTACTAGATTAACTTACCAATCTTGTATTTCGGGTAAGAACATGGTGCGACTTTTTTACTTTCAGTCTCCTCACGAACGCTTGCAGCTTCTTTAGCACAATGGTAAGCTTTCAACTGAGTAAGTGATTCCAATATAGCATTTAAAAATCGACATCGTTCCAGCGAATGGTCAGGATTACGTGAAAATATCCCGTTTACAAAATACTGTGGTGTAAGTTCATGTAAAACAGTAAGACCCTAAAGTAGAAAATGTTTAAAATCCAAAATAATAGCACAATCCATACAGTATACATATATATTTTTAAGGTGTATCTAATTCTGCCCGTAGCCTTTCTGGGGTCAAAACCGGTCCCAAACCTGGATAAAGGAGGGTTGTAGAGGGGGTTAGCGACCACTTAGTAGAGAAAGAACCTTGCCAAAAGAATGCTTTTATTTTATTTCATTTGAACACGTAAACTTTGTTACAAGCGAGCACCAAATACATATGCGTCACACAATAACAATGAAGCCAGTAGCAGTTATCATTTGTATGCGTGAGGGCTGCCCGGGTGCCCTAACCGAGGTATGTGGTTGTATTAGGAGGCCACACCCGGAGCCTTTGACCTGAAGGTCTAATCCACAAGATAGTGCATCAACTTTAGGAGATGCAGTCCCATGGTAACCGGTAACCAACAATAGATTCATACGCCCTTTGTTCCTTTATGATCCTGGAGCCCATGTGTACCATTGGTTTGGAATCAGGGTTTTCCAACTCCTCTAGATGGATCCTCCATATCCATCAAACCGGTTAGAGAGCCGGACATTCGCTTTTCGTTTTCTCAACTTCGTAAACAGCACCCCCCACCGCGAGAAGGCAGTCAGTAGGACTTCTCTGACAGTGGCTGCATACGCGTGGTCATGTAAGAGCATTTTGAGAGGGAAAGTTTACTATAGATGCATTTGAGTTTGACTTTTTCTAGACTACTAAGTGGATGACTCAAATGTAATTTTTGTTTGCTGTTTATCGGCTCTTGTATTTGATAATCACAATAAAAATCATGTTTCATAAAACTAGTTACACAGATTTTCCACTTGAAGTCTTTTGAAACACTTTTTAGTGGATTATAAAGAACATTACATTATGCGACTAAACTTATTGACAACCAAACGATGATAAGTACACAATAAACCTAGTGAGCATTCAATAATACCTAAATTTCCAGATAATTACTTATAACCATTGATGTTAAAGTATATGATAGACTCACCCGATCTCGCTCATTTTCCACAAGCTGAGCCAACAAACGATGACAAGCAATAGTCAACTTATGATTAAAGTTCCGGCAAACGGAATAAATCTTCGACAAACTAGGATTTGTCCAGATCAGTGAACTTGCAACTTTAGGGTTTTCTTTTATCAAGATAGATAAATTAACTATAGCCTTTAATGGTTAATGATACGATCGGAAAGAATTTTAATATACCTGTTCTATTTGATCGGCAGAGCTGGAGTTGTCATTCACGATGTCGAACATCTTGTTTAGTTTCCCTGTAAGGCTTTCAGATTCTGCGACGTACGAAGCAACTGAAGTTTCCAGTTTGTGAGTCAGATTCTGAGCTGCTTTATTCTTAGGGTCAACTAGAATAAGCCTTCTTCCAGTTTCTAAAGCTTCTTTTAACATTCCTTTACCTTCATATGCTTGTGCACAACGATAGAGCGCCTTTGGATCACCAGGAGAGATACTGAGAGCTAAATGTAATTAGCTAACTATTTGAAAGAAAACAAACCTTCCAGGGCAGCCGTCAGGGCGTCACTAAAGTTTCTCAGGTTTAGAAAACACTGGGCTTTGTTGCGTTGTAACACCAATTTCATACTCTTATCAACCCCACATAAACCAAGGCATTCCTCATATAAGCCAATAGCTTCTCGGTATAGCCCTTTTTTAAAAAGCTCATTAGCTTCAGTTTTTAAATCGATTGGATTTTTCATGTCAGCCTTTGGTATGGAATGATAACGAGAAAATGAAATGAAAATTAATAAAACGTGAACAAGACACGAACCGAAAGTTCAAAATGTACGTAACTGTCAGAGACAATGAAAGTTCAAAATATGGAAGCACTTATCCCCACTGTTTTAACTATCCCAATGTCCATCGTCTGTCTTATCAACTAAGCTAGATATTAGATACAGGATTGATAAGGGACTTAGAATGGTTGCTATTTAGCCGACAAGAGCATATATATCGAAGAAATAACGAAAAATGACGCATGTTAATTTCGATCATAAGTTCATCCACCAGACGTTAAAAGCCTACAGTTGTCTTTCATGCGCCTAGCTTTGAATTTAAACAGTAACTTCGTTAATGAAATAAGTCTGTTAGTCCATAGGTTAACACTATGAAACGTCTACATAATGGAGACGTACGTTGGTGTTCTTAGAGTGTAAAATCCGTGTGTCACATTTAAAAATAAACAAGTGGAAAGATATGGAAACACTTGAGTAAACCTTATATGGGTGGGCCAGTAGCATTGAACTAGTAATCTGTGGCGCATAATAGAAAGAGGATACGAGCGTAAAGTTATTTAGTGCTTGTGATTACCTGCAATACAACTGTGCAAAAGAAACTCAAGAGGGATTACGTATGAACGAGCCTGTGAAATATCACTTTTCGAAATATGTCTGGAATATGAAGAATACTGTGTTTACCACAGACAGATTTTGTGCTAAGTTTATGGATTGATTTCTTGAAAACAATCGCAAGCTCCCGATTTCGGGACAAAATTGACCAGATTTAAGTAAATTTTGGGATAGTCCCATTGAAAATTTTCGGTGAACTTTTGGAAAATGCAACAGCAACACAATGATGCTAAATTGTACACTAAAAAAAATTAAAGCACAGGGTGATCTAGTTTTTTCTTAAAAGGCGAATAATTTCTTACGGTCTTCGGAAGCAGTACACAAAACATTGAACAATCTGTGTGCGAAAAGTATAATTGAATCGATCCAGCCTTTAGTATGGGGTACTCCTATTGTTACGCCATTGAAGCCTGAGGGCAAGACTCCTAGAATATGTGGTGACTATAGATTAACATTGGACTCTCGTTTGTTGTTTGAACGACGGTGGAAGCTGAAGGTATTATTAATCAACTTCATGGTTCTAAGGTGCTCTCGAAAGTTGACTTCAAATTGCCTTAGATCAGTCTTCATCTATTTTGACAATTAATGCTCCTTTTGGTCTATTCAAACACAACTTTCATCTGGTTTAAGTTGCTCTCCAGCCATATTTCAGGAAGTGATGAATAATGTAGTCAGCGATCTTGAAGTTTATCAAGATGACCTTATTATCCATGGTTCTGATAAAGTAGCTCATGATCAGATACTTTTTTTATAGCATCGTTTAATTGGAAAGAATATCACGAAGAATCCAAGTAAGTGTCCATTTTGTGTATTTAGTTTTTAATGTCTTGGATAACTGGTTGACGGTAACGGTTTTAAACCAGATATGAAGCGATGCTTTGTATACAAACTCAATGCTGTAAAAAAAAGTTGAAATTCTAACCTGAAACGTAGATTTCCTGTCTATTTTTCAAGGCGGGATGAGTTATTCACTACTCCTGATGGTATTTTGTTTAAATGATTGTGCGGTTATTCCTCCTACATTAAGTGAATCTGTCATTGAAGATTCTCATAGTGAACATATGGGAAAGGAAAGGCTCATATGTTGGTGGCTGGAGATAAATCCAGATGTCATACAGAAAGCAATCGTGGAAGATGTCGTAAGTCGAAAAATCATCCATGACCAGTATCGTATAAGGCCTGGCAGAGAATTCATGCAGACTACATTGGTCCATTTCTCGGCAAATGCTGTGAACTTGTTGCCCTCGGTTCTTTTTCTGAGTGGCCTGAAGCTTTTTCCCAACTTCACCATACTGACTTAACAATTCGAACATTGAGAAACGTTTTTAGTCGGGAAGGGGTTCTTATGGTACCGGTGACTGATAATGGCCCTCATTTTGCTTCAAACAGTCGCTACCTGGTATAGCGTGCAGACATCTGTTCACTGCTCATAGGCTCAATGCTAATACTAAAGAGAACATTTTAGATCATACGAGTCCATATCCAATACACAGTTGGACAGACATTATCTGTCCAACTGTGTATTGGATCAGCATGTGACGAACCTAAGGAGAGGCACAATAAACTACAGAGATTTATATTCCTACTTAGGCTATGGTGGTCGTGGTATTTGTAAGAACTAATGAATATTTTGTACCTTATTTTTTTCCTCATTATGAATTCCAAATACAATATGTTCATCTATTTCTACCTGTCTCAAATAGCACTATTACGGGCATTCCTAGCTAACACATCAATTCTATTACTTCTAACTATCATGATTCGACAACTGATAAAAGTAAATAAAAGGATAGTTAGAAGGTCCAGACTTCAGACCTCGGAGAAGCAACCAAACGACAAGCAAATGTCAAAGTTAATCAAATTGCTGCCACTCTCAAGGTTGTACAGGCCTTCCAATATCCAACATCTAATATCCTTGTCACGAGCTTAATTTCTTTAGCTCTTGTTCTTTGCTGTTGTGTCACGGCTTCAGACTTTTATTAATGCTCAAAGTATGGTAGTTCCTAAGTGGCTAATAAAGGAGAAATAAAGGTGAACAAGGGATGACAAAAGGTATATTACTTTGGGAAATAAAGGGTAAATGATGGAGAAAAGAGCCAGAATGACTATCTTTTCGCCTGTCATGAGGAAACAATGAGAATGTCTCCATTATTGTCGCTCTCTGTTAGGAACGTCGCTGAAATGTCTACTTTTCGCCTAAATGCACACCAAAGAGTCTACTACTCGTTTGAACACTAGCCTACCTTTAATTCACGTTTGATCACACGCCTTAGTGTCCACACTTTGCCTAACCCTAAACGTCTTCTATGTTCTCCTTTATTTGCATGACAATATATACGACGAATGTAATCGACTACGTTAAAAAATGGTACATTGGTAATGGCATTTATTGACAAGAAAAGATACCCTACTGTACAATGATATTAATAAAAGACAGATGCTGGAGCATCAATCGTTATGTATTTTCACCGTAAATTATAAGTCCTGATGTTGTTTACGAAGATCTGCAGAAGGAATCACAGGTAGTGGGTTATTATTAAGCAATGTATCGTTATTAATAAGTGCAGAAGAAAGCGAACAGGCTTACACAACACACTCCATCTGTTCAGAAGTTTCACACGCAAGTCTAAAATTCAACATATGGTAAGAAAAAACTTTACTAATAGTTAATATAAAAATAAACAACATTTCAATGATGAAGTCTTTCTTTGGCTGCGATGTCACTATTACAAATCAAAATGATCTCCCTATGAATTCCGAAATTTAATGAACGCAAAAATCTACAACGACGTCAGACTGCCGTAACTTGTTTGACAACTATCAACCTGAAGCATGAATTACGACTACGTCCGCTAATACTAAACACTCCGTCTATAGAACAACAGTGAATAATTATAACTTCAAATCAATACAAACATATTCTTATTTTCTTCGACAATCCTTTTGCATTTCGTTTTTCTTCATGAAGTGAAAATACCCTTGCTTTGTGATGTCATACAGTCTGGCAAGTCGTTTTTCGTTGACGTATGGAGACAAGAACCGAGATGTCAGTGCGCTTGATGATTGGAAAAAACTGTAATTTCGTATACAGTCGTAAAACCTGCACATCTGAAATGCTGTTTTCGATAAAGTGTCAAGTGATGTGAAATGGCTGGCGACTTTATGTTTCAGGACTTGTGACAAAATACAACATATAAACGTTTCCGGATCATCATCCATTGGGCACTGTCCTGTAGGTGCATACACACAAGGTCCACTGCATAGAGACAAAGTTCTTTACCCACAATTCACTGTTTAGTTTGAAAAGTACGAATAAAGGTAGAAACAGAGATGATAATTGGCGAGAATGTGAGAAATTAACAATATGTGTGATAATTATAACTGTAGGGAAGTTATGATATATAGATCAGGTAAAGCTATCCCAATGTGGTGCTGTTAATGCATTTTTGAGTACGCGCTTGCCTAGTATTCTCTTCGAGCTATACACTGAAGGGTCTGTAGTCACTTCGGCCTACAAATAAGTTCAAATAGAGGTAACTTCAAATGAGGAAAAGCGGGTGCGTACCTAACTGTTTGCTCTTTGATTCGCAATCTCTCGAGGGCCGCCCGAGGAGTATGGTGGTGACGTTCTAGTAATATGCTCGCATTGATAAAAACTCCGTGGTAATTTCGCTGAGTTGTCTACGCATAAAGTGGAGGGTTACTTCTGCCTAGTCTACACCCCCAGTTTGACAGTTAACTCTTTACTAATGTCAACGTAGTCACTAGACCGAGATCACTCATAACGCTCATGATATATCATTTCTACAGACTAAATTTTAACTCGTTTTTTACTGCATATTCCTCCACTACTGTTATATTCTCCTAAAGCTGAAGTGAGTCTTTTTGGCTTTTCATGGGTCTTAAGATCTTTGTATCGTCTGCATAAGTTAGTGTCCCAAGATAACTTGCTTCTTGTGAAACTTTTGATGTCACGGCCCACTAGGTAACTTCGTAACCAGGACAGAAGTGCGTCGGTTGATCCCATCCTTGCAACGTTCACTGCGGGAATGGCAGATGTTATTACTTTAAAGGCTTTTGCGAAGTTGGTAATGCCATATGAATCCATATCACATGGTTCCAGCAGATTGTCCAGGTATCCAATGCTATGAGTGGAATGGATGCACGTGACCTGCCTTTCTTGAACCTGTGTAGGGCATTGGTATCACGATTTGTATGGACTTGCGAACGCCCCATGAATATAAATCTGTCATTCAATTCCGTATATCGTCTAGGCCAACTCCGTATGTGTGATGACAGTAGTGCGAAGCTAAATACGGGTTGTGTTGGATAGCTTTATTTCAACCACCTGTTTATCCAAACAGACATTCAGAACAAAAAGCATGAAGACAATGCGAAGTGTAGAAGGCGAGTGAGCCAACTGGTTGTGACAAAGGGTACTATTTTCACTGATTATTTCCCTGATTTGTTCATTGACCAGTTTCTCTATTAACTCCTACAAATTTGGGAAAAAAATGACTGGTCTGTAACCACCTTTTCTATCTCCCTCCCTGAAGATTAGAGAAGGAACGATCTACTGTAAATCTCTTGGAGCTGATGTAGATTTAGTGAGTGGTTGAACCGGCTATACACTTGTGTGCTAATGGCTTCCCCGTACTGTTTGGGGATCAAAGGTCGGATGTCGCAACATCCTGGTGACTTTTCTAGGCTCAGGGGTATATTCCTTTGATCAAGTACTTTGTGCCGTTCACATTGAAGTAACACAAGCACGGTTCTGTTATACAGTTTAATTGTGGTGTATCGGTTTTGAAGTGTCTGTTCACGTATATACCCACTAAACCTGTTTCGTATACCTTGCATGACTACGTGTTTACATATGTTTTTACGAGAGCCATGTTTCAGTTAGGTGTATAATCTTCAGATATTCTGGTTAGCCCTTCGGCCCCCTCATGTTGATAGTGAGGCACTTGATGGGGTTTCATTACTTGAACCTGGTATGCATCAGCATTTGTCTTTAAGGCCTTAATTTCACTGTCCATTAAAGTGAATGATCAGCTCCGGAGAACGGGCTGTTGAAGGATTTTAGGTCGTAACTAATATACTACGAGCGAGATGAATGCCCCTACGTTCTGTACGGTGTGTTGTTGATCAAGGGCAACCTATTTGGTGTGTTTTTGCTACTGCTCTACGAACTATGCCGACTCTCACAGCATCTGATGTGACTTCCAAGATCATTTTTTGAGTTTACCCAGGCCTGAAGGTCTTCAGTTAAGTCCTCCCGGTTTATGAAGTTCACAGCCATTTGGCGCGAAGACCCAATGATCCTAAAGTGTAACGGGCAGGGTAACATAGACAGTTTATCGTAGTGATGTGAAGGTTTATGCTACGTGATACCCAACGCCACCGTTCTACATAATGTTCGTGGGCTTCATATCGACTAACACCCACTAGCTCAGACGCTCCGTGTACCACCATGCTTGTTGGTTCTTGGGTGCTTGTTTATCCCCTAAGGCCCACAGTTTGTCGCTGTGTAACTCGGATTTGATGGTATCAGACGACTGATGGTCTCTGGGATATCGTTAAGATTTCTCCCTCAACGCGTGGCAAATCTAAAGTTATGTTTAGTCGTGGGGGATTTATTTTTTGCTGAGTTTTGGCTCTAATACAGACTGTATTGCTTAACTGAAATGATACTCTTCCCCAGGATTGCATATTATTTGTCCCACCCACTACTTTCTGCTGACAGGTGTCCGGTATTGGCTATAGTCAGTAATTCGATTGGTTTATAAGCTCAGATTGTGGCTCCCATAGTCACGTATTTTGCTGGGCCTGTGTTCTTCAAATGTGATTAACTGGTGGGGAATGATACGGTCACTCCCAGTGGAGTCTTATGTTTCTCTTTTGTCAGTGCTGTTAGTGTGTTTTTGACACTTTATGTACCAGAACTATGGGCAGAGGCGACTCAAAATGAATCTGTAGCATTGCCCGGTCACTGCAGTATCACAGCTACGGCAACCTAGTCTGTTCAGACATTCAAGCGTGCAAATTTGAGGATAAATCCCTTGATGCTATAGACGACTCCACTTGGGTTACTGTAAACTGTGGATCCCAAAATTATTTACTTGTGGGATGCATATATAGACCACCTCATGCGGATACTAAGTTTGACAAATTACTAACAAACATATTTTCCATTGCTTCGCACCAACCGCATACTTTTAAAATCATCGGAGGCGATTTTAACCTGCCAAAAATTAAATGGGGCTTGACTCCGGTACCAGGTCGATATAACAAGCTAGTTGAAACATTAGAAATTTGTGGATGGGTTCAACAGGTCCGAAAACCAACCAGGGGGAATAATACACTTGATTTAATGTTCACAATCAACATAGACTCTATCTCAGTACATACCAGTCATGAGTTTTTTATGAGTGACCATAGAGTTGTATTGGGTATTATTCACTCTTTAAACGCCATACAATTGAACTCTAAAGCTTCATTGATGTACCAAAGCAGACATTTTGATCAACAAACATGGAAACGGACTGGAACTCTCATTCAATGTTTACCATGGGAAACTTATTTTACCACAAATAATGTTGACATTGCGCTTTCCAATCTATACCACAACCTGATATATTGTCTTGACTGCACTGCTCCAGTTATTGGCCGTGTGGCTTATAATGCTAATAGGGGCCAAAATACTTTTAAAAGAAAGCTGAGGAAATTAAAATGCCGCTACTACGAGCAGAATGATGTGTATGCACTTCAGAGTATACTTAAATTAATCAACAGAAATGCTTCATCTAAACGTAAGTATTTTATGAATATAGAAAATAAAGCTCTACGTAGTAAAAGCCCAGAATTATCAATACTTCGGCTTTTTAAATCCCGTGTAAAGTCAAA